TCCCAGTGGGTGCGTACTACCGATGATTCCCAAACTAGGAGGAAACAACTGTCCAGTACTCCCTGGTTTTCAATGGTTCTCAAACTGATATCAATCCGTAATGAATTCGTAAAAACATGTTCTTTTCGACGACATTGGGACATTCTATTGGGTCTACTTATATAGGTGTCACCGGAAAAATAGACTTCAACCTTCGCCTATCATCAACTGACTACTTGATCCAATTAAATATGACTGCTCATTAGTATGTAATTTTGTTTTAGATAACTGAGTATTTGTCATACATTTATTGTTAACTATGTTAGTTGTAAAGCGATTTTAGAGTAACTACGAAATGAAGGAATCATCTCGCGAAATCGATCTTCTAAATACCTTATTCAAATTTATCCAAGTCGTATAATAATGATAATAATATGCTCACCTTGAAACTCAAAGGTTGTGACTTCGTTTATTATTCGATGTCTACATGTTAACTAGGAGAGAAATATTAAATCAATACAACAAGATAATAAATTATATAATTTAATAATTCCCATTGTAGCATTAAGAACACAATTTTCAGCGAAGAGACTCTTTTCAACGAATTTATTATCAAGCTGTACAATCGTATATATATGGTTTTATAAAGAAATTATATCCGGTGAGGGAATTAGGTCAAAGGTGTAAATACATGAAATAATAAATAGTCAGAGAATGCTCTCCACACGGATACGAGAACATATTCCAGCTTGGTTTTACAAGGGAGAAAGGAAATGTGTGCGAAGCTCTATCTTAGAACACCTCATCGACTCCTGTCACGCGGTCAACCCTGACCATGATTTCAAGGTCTTATATAGAATTCATGCCAACTTCCCGCGTTTTCTTCGTTACAGACTTCTAAAGACAGCTGAGGCCTTGGCAATTCATGACTTTAAGCCAGACCTTTGTGTACAAAAGAAGTATGTACAATCCCTACTGCTGCCTTGGCCGTAGAGGGATAGACATTTATTTATTTTATTATTCTATGTACTTTTCCCTTATTACTTCGATTATTATTATTATCATTATTATTATTATTACGACTCTCATTCTGAATCTTTTCCACTTGATCTACTTGACACTTTAAACCAAAAATTAATCATGCGAATACTTTTTATCTTTATTTTTACAATATTAAATTCTATGTTATCAAATTTCACACCATGTTACGTAACATTTTACATTCGTCTATTAATCTTACAATTATATGCCTCTCCCCAAAATCTATACACCTGATGTATTATCTTATATATGACATTAATTATTGTTCCACTTGACTTAAACTATGAACCTAATCACAAATATTTTAAATTTATTTCATACTATTATTATTTCATGTATTTACACCTTTAACCTAATTCCCTCACCGGATATAATTTCTTTATAAAACCATATATATACGATTGTACAGCTTGATAATAAATTCGTTGAAAAGAGTCTCTTCGCTGAAAATTGTGTTCTTAATAAATTATATGTCAATTTGTTAAGTAATAATTTAAAAAAATATTGACAAAAGCAATATTTAATCGTCTCGTTGATTTCTTGTATGCACTAGATATTGATTATGGCTAATTCCAGGGACTAATTTGATGCCTTCCAATATGGAGATTTGCAGAATTCAGCAAACGTTCATTTTGAGGGACAAAATATGTTAACGTGGATAACATATTGTAATATGAACAATGTATTTACCAATTAACGTCAATAGGTAGTGATAATTCAGCTCTCCAAGCTATGCTTAACCCCGTGTACACATCTGATGGGTTCAGTTGCAAAGTAGAGGAGTAACGACTATCTGATGTTTAGACTACTGAGATAGACTACTGGTTACCATCAACTACTAGTTATATCAATTAATAGTACTATATAAGAATTGTTTGCATTGTATTTGTAAGAAAATGTGTAAAAGACTATAAATTCGTATTATTTCTTTATACTTGTAATGTTTTCGCGTTTATCTGTTGGTCAACCTGAAGAACAGTGGTTTTTTTGTTTATTCTTTTACGTTCCCAGTGGAACATAGGGCTTGAAGCTAGAGACTTGAAGTTTCTTTAGCAGTGGTGATTATTTTTACAGCATGACGTTGCTAGCGTGATGGCTAAGCTTCCCTCTTTACCGGACTTGTTACTGACTTTTGGCTAGGTGAAGGAGTTCGGCGTCAGCTGGGGGTCGAACACCGGACCATCTGTATGGTCGGTGGTCGTCCTAAACGGTGTGCTGGCGACGCAAATCTTGATCACAGATCATAAGAACTATGTTGTTTACTCAGATATTTCTCTCTTTTTCTGTCACTGGACGTTTGTGTCTGCGTGTTCAGGTGTGTATGTGTTTTAATTTATAATTTATTAGATATGTATATTTTTTTTCAGAAGTGATGCTGTATTTATCTACATATTTTAATAAGTTAATTATATTGTGAATATGGTTTGTTTCTATGGTTCAAACTTTTGGTCTTGTCGTTAACTTGTTATTGTTTGTCCTTTATGTATTGTGCGTATGTGTGCATATGGCCTGACTTTTCTTTTCTACTTTCTTCTTTAATCTTTAATATATATATATATATATATATATATATAAAAATCAATAAAAGCCATTAGTTGGCTTTAATTATGTGGGTGATATGTATTGCTGTATAGCATAGCTATGCGAAAATATGGCTGCATATTTATGGTAGAAGGTATACAAAGCATGACAGAATTTTTGTTCAGTTGCTTCTCATTGGCTGAATAAATGATCAATAAGCTGACCTCGTAATCGTGAAGGTTCTGGTTCCGATTTCTGTTGATGTAGGTGGGAGAGTACTGTTGAACGACACAGTTGTGTCTAATGCTCCCTGATTTTCAATAATTCTGTTTAAACTGTGAGTAGTATCATGACAGTCAACTTTCAGTTAATGTGTGTCATCTGTTCAAATAGAATTCATAGATCTCTGTATAAAAAATCATGATGACAGGTTTCATCATGAGAGTTGACGTCAGTTGGAGAACCATTGGAAAAACGAATCAGAAGTACTGGACGACTGTATCGTCCTAGTCTGGGACTCGTCAACAGGATTCACCCACCAGAGCTCGAATCCAGAATTCTTCTGGGTAAAAGGCTGGATTCGTAGATCATTCAGCCACTGGGACCTGATCTAACAGCCGCTGAATCCCAACTTCTGCCGATTCGTGATACATACATCCCAAGTGCTGACCAACGAATGGCATAAGCGAGTAACTGTTCTCTTACCAGACGTGCTGGATCCCACGTATTACGACTTCTCACAATAATCATCATATAATTGACTAGGATTGTAGGTAAATCCTGGATAAATCAGAACGTGCTCAAAATCTTACAATTGATAAAACAAAATCAATCCAAATCTCCACAAATCTAATAAGTTATGTAGTTATTGTTGTCACTTTTTGATAGAATTTAGGAGAAAGAGGAAGCCAATATCTTTGTTCACGTGATAGGTAAAAACAATAAGAAAGAAAAGACAGATTTACATTATAATAAAACGATCTCAACCAGTTTTGTGTTGCAGGTGATTCTCTTCTTCTTCTTCTTCTTACCTGAAAACTCTATCATATGTCAGTGATTGTCACAGATTTTAAACGTTAAAAATAGTATAGAAAAAGTTTGAGTTATTAAATTTAACATTTGTTCTGAGTGGAATATAGAGCTTCAATAGTACATCTACATTCTCCTCTGTTATCTACCATCATTTCCAGCTGGCCATATAACCGACCACCTATATATGCCCTTGTTTCCTGTTCTTTTGATTACCTCCGTCTAATATTTTGGACATTTAATTCATTGCTTTCTATTCGAGTTATACTTAATGATGACGTCATTTAGAGGTCTTCTCAGATTATATCCAATCCATGTGTATTTCTTTCAACATATTTATTGGGTAATAGGTTCTTAGTTGGTTAATTACCGACCGGCCATCTGATTTCCAATATCTATTGAAGGCGGAATGTGGAATGCACATTCAGTTTGTCTTATTGTATCAGAAAATGCAATTGTGAGAGTATTGTTGAACCGATGAAGTCTTATCTCCGATTTAGTTATGAAGCTTAACTGTTACGCTTATTCCAAATTTATTCCTAATACATCTAACTGCTTTATATGATAGCACTATGAGGGTTTTAAATGCTCTTTTTATTTCAATGAAGACATGACTGATTTGCTTAAGCTGTTGATTTTCACTCTAGACATCCTGGATTTCAACTCTGCACTATAACTACACTTGTAACTCTGGTACATGATAATAATAATCATAATGATGCCAAAGCTACACCTGTGGGAACGAATGTTACTTTAGGTTCCACCATACCAAAAAGATCACTTAGATAGATAGTGGTTAGACTAGAAGCACTTACCATCATAGTGTAAAGCGCTCACGCTATGTTGTGCACCCGAGGACGAAGTCGTACTGCTGGTGAATAGGGGGACAACAGAGATAGGTTGTTTCCCTCGGACTACCAGTAAGCCAGCTACTTCACCTTCCGCTATAAAATATCGCCCCAAAGACTGTGCATCCCAACTTACTCTCAGGTGTTCTGTAGTAGACCGGAAGGTCTTCGTGTATCCGCAACTCCAAAGACTACTCAACATAGGCTGTACACGTGAGTAGCCTTAAGCAGTCACCCCTTCACCTTGTGATCACGCCACATGCTCATTCAGAAGTTGAAATTCACGGGCCACTGGATAGAGTCCTGACGGTTGGACTGTAACTGGAAAGTTCTGGGTTTGAACGCCGCTGAGTGCGTGCTGCTGGAGAGTTCAAAATTAGGATGGAACACTTATCTAGTACTCCCTGGTTTTTCAATGGTTCTTCAACTGATGTCAGCTCGTGATCAGACCTGTAACCAATCGAATCCTTTCAAGCAACATCTGATAAAACTCTCCGTTTCAATTGTTTAAATTCAGTATAAGACATAAAATCTCGGTGGTTTTACTTTTTTTTTATTAACTTTATCGTTTTTCTCTTGCAGACAAGAAAACTCAAATGGGAAAAACGGAACAAGTCCAGGTAAATATTTTATTTTTGTACTTATGTAATGAGATGTTTTGGTGCGCCAGTGATGTTCAGTAGTAGAATATTCGCTAGCCATGTCTCACGTGATCTAGGATTCAATTTTCGACCACCAACGGACTCCGCCTTAACCTCGCCTAATCGGTAATAAGACCAGTAAAGAGGGAAGATCGAGAAATGTGAGGCTAGCAGACCCACCCCATGAAAATAAACACCACTGTCTACGGAAACTTTAGAGCTCAAGCTTGAAGCCCGACGTTCCACTAAAAAAAACGCAGTTTATTATTCTCAGTATTAGGTTTCTTATATTGTTTTTTTAAATGATCATTCTGTGACTTTTTCATTCTTCTCATGATGATTAACAATTTGGTTAGAGAGCCATTAAAAAAAACGTGAGCTCACTGGACAGATATTTTGTAGGCAATTTTGAAGTACTCTTCAGCACTACGTATTGCCACGAATCAACTAGAGTTTGAATGCAAGACCTTCTTCAGGTTATAAAACGAGCAGATTACCATCCAATCACTGTTTCTATATCCAATGACTCGACTTCCAACTTCCACTGATTCAAAATGTACGGTGCCATCACTAGCCGATGCCACTAGTGAATATTTGTCTCTATTACCGACTGGTCACGATTTTTCACTAGAACTCCAGGGACTTCACCCTTTGGTCAGTCAACAATGGAGAGTTGTCTTTGTGGTGATTTGATTGGTTTCAGGTTTGATCACGGATTGCTATCGGTCAGAGAACCACTGCAAACCAGGGAGTACTTGAAAGTCGTTTCATACTAGAATGAGACTGTTCAGAATCACACACACCCACCGGCGTTCGAATCCATTAGCTTTCAGTTTTGAGACGAGCTCGTATACCATTCAGCCTTAGGGACCTGATCTATTGCCTTATGAAGTCCAATTTCTACCATTTTATGGTTTTAGTACGACCAACAGTCAATGTTATATCGACGGGAATCTGTCCTCATGCCTGACCGAGTGGACCTCTGTGGTCATGACTTCTCACTAGAATTCTAGGCGACTATGTCCTGTAGCTCAGTCACTAGCGAGCATCAGACTAATTTTCAAGAGCTGGTTGAGAACCATGGAGCATTGGACAGTTGTTTTTTTCCGCGTTCATGACTATCTTCAGCAGTTCGTAACCATTATTCAATCAGCGACTGCAAGTGAGTAGGTTACCATTCTTTCATAGCCTCTTGATCTAGCGGCCCATGGACTGAAAATATTATTCTGACTTAGGATGTTAACCATCCGTTGACTTCGGAGATTGTTTACCCTTACAGCCAATCCGGTGAACCCGACGGGTTACAACATCTCACTTAAATTCCAGAAAGTTGACTGCATAATTAGTCACCATAATGCCCAGTAGATTAATTTCAGAATGTTGAGTTTGTGTAAATCGTATTAACTTAAAGATGGATTTTGTTACAAATTGATCTCGTGTGAGGAACACATAATAAGGGTAGGAAACAGCTATCCAAGAGCATCCTAGTCTTCATTAGTTTTTTAACTGAGGTCGGTTTTTGATGAAATCTGTCTTACAATTCACGGTATCTTGGAACAGTACAGAAAATCCAAACTAAAAAGCAGGAAGAAATGTTTGGTTTGGTGCACAGTTTAATAAAGTTAGTGTAATATCGTACCCAGCTTTCATGTCCCTTGTTCTCTCAATGTCTAAACAACATAACCTTTACATGCTTACAGTGAAGTTAATTTTGTGCTCAAATATCTCACTAGTAACTCCTCTAACTCTCTCTGAGTACTAAGTGACGGAGATTTGAATCTCAGAGGGAACATCAGTCCTATCAAGGTTGCATGTATGTCTTACTGACGAGCATCAATAAGGACGAAACCAATAAGGTATATAGTTTTCCACAATATTATCTGATTTTCGTCATTTTTAAAAAAGGAATAATGAGATAGCAATCTTGTGTTTTAGTAGTATTATCATTGTATCATCCCTTGGTCCGGTTGGTTAGGTGAAGTATGTGTTTGAGCAGCCATTTAAGTTCAGTGGAGCACTGAACAGTCTCTTCACTGTAGTTCTGAAGTAATGTGCACTGAAAATCACCTTCAATCAATCGACTTCAAAGTCTTCAGGTTGCGTTATCGTCCAGTTTTTTAGGTTGAAGTTCTGAATTTTAACCTCTTTTAGTATTACGACAAACAAGAGGCATTGTTTGTGAACAAGCTTCCTCACATCTCCTTTGTGGCTATCTTAATTCATCGCTGATAATCTATGAATGGAACATCACAACGGCCATTTCAAAGCAAATAAATTTCTTTTATTCCCTTCGTTATCAGTGGAACACAGAGTAGAATTTGTGTACTGTGGTAGAGTATACTTCCATTGTGTTATACAGTAATACTTACTGATGACCGCGTTTCAAGCACAGTTTATTACTGCTCGAAATCTCATCTGAAGTTATTCATACTACTTTCCAGCTTCGTTTATATGATTCCATTGTTTCTCATCTGTTGATTAGATTAATAGTAGTATTTTCCATATATCTGGTATTGAGTGATGAGCCATTCTTATTGCACGTATTGGGTATAGATTCGAGGAACAAGGATTCAGTAATCAACGTCTCTCTTCACCCACTTATATTACATCTTGTGGTTATGTGTTAATGCATGCATGCAGTGCAATTTCTGAGCTATTTTCTGAATTATTTATCTTCGTGGGGTCAGTCACTCTTTTTTTTTTTAAGGCAATTTCATATGTTCTGACAATCTGACTTCCCCCGACCTACTAGTTTGACCTATGTAGTTGAATTAGCTCACAGTCATTGCAAGGTATTTGGTGAATTATATTGATTTGTCTAATTGCGTCAACGGAAAGGGTCCCTTAACCTACAGAGCTTGTGCTGCCTGGGTGAGTTTGTAGGTTTGAATGGTACTCTAATTCCTGCTTTATTAAGAATTCTGTGTGGGGAGCGTCTCAGACGTTCCCTCCTTATATCTTAGAACTGTATATTCCTTGTTATTTATGGTGAAATATGCTTATTAGTTCATAAAAAAAAACACAGTTTTTATTCAGCGAAGAAATATCTCTCTTTTTAACAACTTCATTTTCAAGCTGTACAGTTGTATTTATAGTACACAAAAAGAAGGCATTAATTGGCAATAGAAATTGCTCAGTCAATATATGTGTATGATAAGAATAAAGATGATGCACCAATGTGCTAGAGTTGAAGTGGTTGAATTACAAAACTTCTTAAGATGATTAAATAAGTGAATTGGTGTTAAGATTTTAAAATATTGGGTGAAGTATCTAAAAATTTAAGAATACGATGATGATAAAAAGACGGTGAAGGTGAATTCAAGCGGTAAAAGAGAATAAAAAGAACATTACTATGATCAAGGTAAAGAAAGGCGTTTGACAAAACGTTTTTGAATATATAGCTTAGGTTTTTGTCCATGTATAGCTATAGCTTTGTCTATGCATTACTGGAGAAAACGTAAGCTTCCGGAAAGATTGGATTTGGTCCTATAGATATCTTTAAAAGATAAATCACGTGGGGGCTGAATGACGTGATTCCAGAAGGTGTTCACAGATTGAAGATTTTGTCGTCCTTTGCTCACCTTTCATTCAGTAAACCGGGTGGTAGTGTTCAGCTACACGTGTACGGAGAAAACGCTTACAACGTCCAGAGTAATCAGCTCCACAGGAGAATGTGAACGAGTTAATGCATATTGAAGTGGACATAAGCGGTAGTTTATTCTTGACGCATTATCGAGTCATATTTCGTCTGGTAAATACTAAATGTGTAAGTCAGATGCATAAAAAAGCGTTTAATACATTTAGATAAACGACTTAATACCTAGCGGGGTACCCTTATGATTATCTTTGATGAACATCCAATTCACATTGAATAATTGCAATCCCAGTAGGTGAATGGTTCACAAACTACGTCTTGTAACCTCAAAATACCAGATTCGATCCCTGGCAGGGTTGTGAGGATGAAACAACTGCCCAGTAACTCCCTTGGTTCTCAATGATCTCTGTAATTGATGTTGGCTCGTAGAGAAATTCTAATCAATCGAATTAAGCGTATTTGTGTGTAAAATAAATCTCTGTACACTTTTCTAACGTAACAGCTAGGAATTATTTGTCTGAGGATTAAAGGCGATATTGATAACGTAGATACCAGTTGGTGGGACCTATCAGACACCAACTGTGATAGTTTGCAGGTTTCTGGTTTGAATCCTGCTCCGAAAAATCCAGCTTTTCATTTGAACATATTTGATCATCTCACTGTCAATATTAACCAGTGACAGTCTGTTACAACACAAGACTATTTCATTTATAGTATAGTCTCTCCAACATCATCATCATCAAATAAATAATAAATCAGAGTTTATTTTTAGGAAACAGTCTTGAATTTTGATGATAGACTTCTGAAAATAAGGGTTACATGCATAGATTAATTTTAATTAATTAATTGGTTTTATTCCTTCACGTCCCAAGTGGGGAACATAGTGGGCTTCACGTAGCCGTGTAAGGGCTTATGGGGAATTGTCATCTGAATGGATAACAACCAGTGGTGTCCGGCAGGGATGTCCACTTTCCCCATTTCTGTTTAACTTCATCATATATATGCTAATGGAAGTATCCTTAACTGAACTTAATGGCTTATGAATCGACTTGTTATCAGGGAATAGTTTCATGTACTTAGAATATGCAGATGACATATTCCTGTTAGGGGAGGATGCTGACAAAATGCAGAGTCTTCTGAACACTTTGGGCAGCAATCTTCGTATGCTTGGCATGCGATTCGCCCCTGTAAAATGCAAGATGCTGCTATAGGACTGGACTACGTCAACTCGTAGCTTAGCGATAGGGAGTGAATTGATAGAACATGTTGACCACTCCACCTATTTGGGAAGTTGTATCAGCACTAACGGACTGATTGGCAATGAAATCTCAGCACGGATCCAAAAAGCTCGAGCTGCTTTCGCTGACTTACACCATCTCTGGCGTAGGCGTGACATCCGGCTATCAACCAAGGGACGTGTGTACTGCTCAGCACTTAGCTCCGTCCTTCTCTATGGCTCTGAAACATGGCCAATACGAGTTGAAGACATGAAAAGGTTGACTGCTTTCGATCATAGATGTCTGCGATCTCTTTCTCATGTTAGGTGGTTTAATAAGGTAAGTAATGTTTACGTTAGGCGTAGAGTGTTGGGCAAAGAGGGAAAATCAATCGACGAGGCTATAAAGTTACATAGACTAAGATGGCCAGGTCACGTGCTGCGCATGCCTAACTATCGCCTCCCCCGATGAGCATTACTAGCTGATATAGGTGCAGGTTGGAGAAGAGTAAGTGGTGACCAAACAAAAACATGGCATCAATCCATGAAATCCTTGACAGTTAAACTGAGTCGGTCAGGTAGGGAGATGCAGACTTCCGGGTTGGGGCCCTCGGGACTCTAAGAATCAATGGCTGGAGAAAATAGGTGACGTGGCTCAAAATCGTTGTCAATGGCGCGGATGTATTCAGTCTCCGTAATCTTTCATATTTCTTTCTACCATTACCCATTCTGTTTCACTTATACTTGTCAGACTGCATTGATTCTCTTCACTCATCTTCTTGTCTACCTTTGTGTGCTATTTGGAACGTGACAACTCGAACTGCTGCACTTCGGTGCCAAGATCTATGTTGAATCCAGACAGACAAAGAGTGGGCTTCAAGGTGGTGTGAAGACAGTTGTTGATGGAAGTCTACAGTGTGATTTTTTGAAAATGCTATGGGTTTATGCATCAAGTCTGTGATCCAAATTAGAACTGATTTGACATTATTGTTGTTGGAAATTCTAATCTTGTTGTTTATGTGTTGAATACAAAAGATTTTGCAGATTGATTTCAAACTAATGAAGGTGTGTCTTACTTTTCTGATCGTGTCGCTGACATACTCATCTGTCTTCGTTCTTTGCTCATGTTTTGACCGTTTTGGAGAACACCTTCAACGCTTATTTTAATGCGACATCCTTAGTCTTAAGGAACTTAACAAGGTTGATATACATAGATATATCCGGAAGACTTGATGACTGTGATTGTGGAGGTGTGACTCATTGGCGCTGAAGCACTTGCTTTCAACCGAAGGGTTACTGTTCCGACTGCTGTCCCCCTTGGAGGACTATAGGTTTCATGTTTGTTTGTTGATGCCCATCGTCAGTCAGGTAGGTGTGTCTTTAATCTTGAGTGGGACTCATGTCTCTTCTGAGATTTGAACCTGGGTCATCCAGGGGTGCAGTCAGAGACATTTCACCATTGAGATACTCGGCTTCCTCGACTGACCTCCTGTCAGATTGTAATGGATACTAATGTCATGCATGTAGTTCTTTTTATTTAAACGCAGAAAAAACTTGGTACAATATGGCACCAAGAAAGATGCGCCACACAATAATAATAAAACAACATAGATCAAAAGTAAAAAAAATGTAAGTAGAGAACGGATAAAGAACTTCATCTGGAAGGAAGACATTCATGCTTAACAAGTTCAAACAGTATTCGTTAACTATCATCGGGAAGGGAAGAAAGAAGGAAATTGCAACACGTTCGCCATTGACGATTACGATTCTTGACCATATCCGATAACGCTTCGAGCCATCGATTTGAACTATCTCTCGGACCCCAACCAGGGAGTCGTGACACACCAACCGATGCTAATCTAGCACAAAAATCCTTCATCCCACGACGCCACGTCATAGACTGACCACCCCTCTGCCCTTTCCATCTCGTCCCAGGGCTAGCGAACAGAGACCCGTACGGACGCCTCTGGGGTGACATTCGCAGCATATGTCCAAGCCACCGAAGCTGGTGTTTCTAGATGACGACACTCAACAAATGGTGATCTCCACTGTGTTCAAACACACGCCACCGAATCTCAGAATTACTCACGCGATGATGCCATCGAACGCAAGCAATCCTGCGGAGACAGCGATGATCGAACGCGCAGAGCCGCCGCACATCCTCAACTCGGAGAGGCCAGGTTTCACAGGCGTAGAGCAGGGTAGCCCGCACCGAAGCATTGTATACCCGACCTTTGACAGCCAGGCTAACGTCGTGACGGCGCCAGAAGTGGCTCAAGTTGATGTATGCCACCCTAGCTTTCATTATACGTTTGGAAATCTCATCCGTCACCCCTCCGCCCACACTCACACAAATAGGTGAATGAAGTAACGTCTTTCAAATCCCTCCCGTTGATGGTGATTGGCGCTGGATGTTGCTGCTGGTGTTGTTGTTGGTTGGTTCATTAAGATCACGTTTATTGCTGAAAGTGAAATTCCACTGTCTGACATTTGGAGGGATTTAACGTGAAATCATCATTAAGGTTAGACCACTAGCTAATTTTCTACAGAAAGCTACTAAGTTTGGAAGAGTCAACTCGTGAAGTAAACAGCAACGAGACAGTAAGGTCGTCAGCATATATAACAAAAAAATGATTTCTTCTGAACAAGTCAATTCATGTACAAAGAAATAAAGAGAAAGAGGAAAAACAACATCTTGAGGGATACCGGCTTCAATAAGCAAGGCAGATGAAAATTTACCTTTTTATACTGCTTTCTTTTCGAGAAATAACAGTGCACTCAGTTAACAATCCAGGTTTAAGATATGCCTGGAACGTGAGCACTGTGGTAGTAAGTAATTCCATATTAGTTTGTTTATTAGATATATCACACAGTGAGTGAAACAGTATGTTCTTTACTGGATAACACAGTTTCGAACAAAATTTATTGATCATAATCATCCCATCATCAATTGTAATCACATGACTTCGAAACTTGAGTTCTATAGTTTTCTCTGTTCTCTCCTATTTGTCGTCGTGGGCATGGTAGTAGAATTTTCCAGATATCTGGGTGGACAGGTGTTGAATCATTCCTATTAAACGTGTCAGTTCGCGGTTGATTCGATAAACAAAGCTTCTGTTATCAATCTCTCCCTCCACCCGAGCAGAAAAAGCTAGCAAAATCTAGATTAGTTGATCCGAATAATAAGATAAGAAATCTGGAGAATAGTTCAGCTATAGCACTCAGTACACGCAATTACACACAACCGTACAAATAGGCTGGATGGGATAGGATGACAGTTTTAAAATCTAATACAACTAACATAGTGGAGGGAGAGATTGATAACGGAAGCTGTATTTATCGCATCAAGTGAAGAGAATACGCGTAATAGGAATGATGCAACACCTGTCGCAGATATCTGGAAAATTCTGCTACCTCTACTGCTGCTTATTTCCTAATAAGCTTATCTATATAATAATAATTTTTTTATTATTATGACTTGAGTCTACACAGTATTTTTAATACAAGTATGACATTTTCAGCATGTGATATCGGTAGCCGAAATTTAGCAGGCTGATCATTGATACCAGGTGTGCGTTGGCGGGGGATCGAATCCCGGACACCATGTGAATAGTTGGCGAGCGTCCTAACCGCTGTGACGCACATAATATCTATTCTTGACAGTATTTATAAAATGTACGGGGTTTTCAGAGGAGTTTGTTGTATGATATTTTGCCTTCAAGTAAAATATTAACTGATAATGGTCTCTGACCTGAAGCACAAACGAATCTATTAGGATATATCTGCTTTGTCTCCTTGAAGAAGTCCATGATGCATGGTTGAAAGTCAATTGTAGGATGTCCAGAAGTACATTTTGAGACCCCAGGACATAATTAAAGTACAGTTATCTCATGCATTGGAAGACGTTGTTACTCATAATTATGCCATTTCTCAATTTTATTAGGATCCTGCGAATCAGGAGCTTGATAATACCACTAGAGGTGATATCTGAATGGATCAAAACAAACCGAAGGAGAGAAGATATATGCAATATTTATAGAGAGAGAGAGAGAGACAGATGAAAGTTATTAGTCGCCCAATTTTTAATCAAGCCACCGAATTTAACTTTCCCAAATTTCATCTATAACAGCGTATCTATTAATCGTGAATTATTATTATTACTATTACTATTATTATTATTATTATTATTACTTTTTTAAGGTATAAGACATGGTAAAGCTCATGAAATTCTGCGTCGTCGTTCAGTATTTTTTGCTAGAGAAATCAAGCATAATATAGTTCAGTTAGACAAAGTCAATGAAGAAATGAAGAAATTAGCGCTTCATTTGTCATCGTCATCATCGAAATCATCACAGTTAAAATCAGTCGAGTCTATAAATAATGCTAATAAAGCAATAAAAGAAATTAAAGAACAACTATTAGATATTTCATTATACTTACAAGTTGATGTCGATGGATTGGGACGTGTTGACCATGCATTAGAATTTCAGATCATTGGTTTAAATGACCTATCAATGAAATTAAAAAATGAATTTAATAAATTACAGGTTGGTTGGTATTCTCTTGTATGCTATTTGTATTTGGTGTTGTTGTTGGTTTTCAAGTGTTTCATTACAGGCGGCATTTCATTGATTGTAACCGGAAAGCTTCTTGGGTCCAACCCCTTATCCTATGGATGGCGTCATGTGTGAGTTTACTGTTGAAGAGTCACAAACACGGGGGACGAAACAGAGATATTCAGTAGCATATCCTGTTGGTTTACAATACTTCTCTAACAGTAGTCAACTCATGTTATCTAATTCAAGTGTTTGTTTGTAGGGATTTGCTTGATTGGTTACAGGATTTCATCATGAGCTGACATTAGTTAGAGAACCATTGGAAAGTCTGCCAGGGAGTACTGGACAGCTGTTTCGTCCTAGTTTGGGACTCTTCAGCAGTATGCACCCACCGGGATTCGAACCCAGGACCTTCTGGTTACAAGGCTAGCGAGCTCGTAGACCATTAATCCACTGGGACCCGATCCAATGGCCCATGAATTCTAACCTCTTTCAATTCACGACATAGTGCGACCTCTAGCTAATGTCTTCGGCGACTATATGTCCTCACACCTGACCTGCTGCACCCTACTGGTCACGACTTCTCACTAGGACCCCAGGTAACTACCTACTGCTGAAGAGTCTCAAACTAGGATGAAACAGCTGTCCAGTACTCCCAGGTTTTCCAGTGGTTCTCTAACTAATGTCAGCTCGTGATGGAATCCTAAAATCATGTTATCTAAATTGACATCGGACACTGATATTATAACGGTAGAAGACGAAAGAGTGGTAAAGGAATGTTTATTTGGAAACTGGTATCTCCATATAGCCAAATTATATGTACACTTTATATTCAACCCCGCATTTGCACATATCTTCGTGTTGTGGTACTTCTGGTCTCAATGTTGCGTTTCTTTCACGTCTCCCATGTATCTCCGCAATGCTGTACCATTTGCTATTTTCTGACATCAAATCTATCTTCCTGCTATTTGATATTTTTGTGCCGACTAACACTCTTTATACATATACTACTGATAAATCTTATCAGTAGCACTTGCCAGAATCATTTAAAGCCACTAGGTAAAGAGGTACTGGACAATTATTCAGCCTTAGTTTAGTACTCTTTATCAGCACGGAACAATGGTCCTACTGGAAATCGAACTTAAGAACTTCAGGTAACGATGCAAGATAGTTAATCATTCATCCATAGGAATAGAACTGAATGACCAGTTTGCGACTATTGAATGTCATCAGAGAGTTTGTATGTGTATGTGTGTGTGTTTATTTCTGTTTTTTCTGCAATTGTTGACTTCAAGTTAGATCACAAATTGACGTCTGTGAGAGAAGTGTTGAGTATCGATGGATAGCTGGACAGCTGTTGCATCCTAAGTTGGTATCCTGATTCTGAGCTACCTAGAATAATGGTGGCCACATTCAAAACCTTACAATCTGCGCCGAACAAAGGATTAGACACACCAAACTAATTACTGACTAGTTTCCAATCAAAAATATCCAATACACTCCTACACGAGGTCAATTGCCAGCCCGAATAGCTCAGTGGTAACGTCTCTGACTACAGGCAGTACTGTGTGACGCGGACTTGAATCTCAGAAGAGACATGAATTGCTTCAAGTTTTCAGATACGCCTCGCTGACTAGTGAGTGTCAACTAGCAAGAAACCTAGTTCAAGGATGGCTTCCTATGGGCGATCGCTTCCAACCATCTAATATCATCATGCGTTGTTGTTGTGCGTCGGTGGCACAGTGGTTAGGACTCTCCCCGACCATGCACTTGGTATCCGGGGTTCGAACCCTGCCGACGAACACCTGATATCAATGATCGGCCTGCAAAATTTGGGCTACCGATATCCATGCTGAAAATTCCATAGTTGTACCAAAAATACAGTGTGGAATCAAGCTGTAATGAAAAAAATAAATAAATAAAAATAATGTCTTTTCTTGATTGTATTGCATTTTTATACTCGTATAACTGATGTTTCCACTAGTCTTTATTTCTATTTCATACATCTGATTATTGTTTACTCGAGTGAACTCCTTTAACTAGAGTATTTTAGAATATTCTAAGTAAAGTGGTGTAGCGGTTATCTATCGGATTAATCAATTACCTTCCACTCAACACGTCTAGGCTTCGAATCCCACTCTGCCTTCTCTAGCCTACCTGGGTAACGAAGTAGTGACATCAGTGTTTACACAAAATGTATGTCTCATAGGTTGCTACATGCCAAATTCGTTTGAGTTAAATGAGTCCTAGTGAATAATAATAATTATTATTATCATTCTAATAATAGTAATAATAATAATAGTAATAGAAGTATTCTACAGGAATGTGATATGTGGTGTAAACTTGTGTTAATGATGTTACAAATTTCAGTATTTCTATATTCCAGCTGAAATCAATAGTAAATACTGAACTGTTAAGTGAAATATAAACAAAATTATGACCTAAATTCTATTTTTTATACATACTGCAACAATATAGCTCCTTTTATAAAAATTTTAAAACAAGTAGTAGTAATTAATAAAGCCAGAAGAAATTGAAGGTTGGTGGAAACATAATAAGCTATAAATAGATCCACTACTGTCTTTCTACAACCATGCAGGATTATTATTATTATTATTATTGTTCCCTTGGGTTCCCACTGGAACATAGGGCTTCAACTGCACGTCTCCACTTGCCAATTCTGTCTTCTGCTTTATTTTTCACCTGCATCCATCTTAGTCCATACTCTTTCAACTCCCCTTCATACGTTCTCCTCCATGTCGCCCTTGCACCGACGACCCACTTGACGCTTCCCTTTCGGGTTCCACTCGAGCAATGTCCTGACGTGCGCGCGATGTGACTCAATGGCCTCCTCAGCGAGTGTCCAATCCATCTCCATCCACTTTCTCCTGCATATTTGTTAGTTGGCGATTGGTTCTTGTTTTGTTTGCTCCCATAGTTCCTTGTTGGTGATTCCGGCTATCTGATCTTCAGTATAGAGCGAAGACAGTTGTTAATAAAGGTCTGCAACAGGCTGTTGGAAATATTCTTTGTGACCCGCCCACCAAGTTTCTGATCCGTATAGAAGAACTGACTGACTTGACGTAGTTTGTATTGAAAATCCTACTGAGTTTTATTGTTGATGCTGAGTTGAGTGACAAAGATTTCCAGATTGGTTTCAGGTTGATGAATGTGGTTTTCGCCTTCCCGATTCTCGCTCGATTTGACATCCTCGTCCGCTCCTCCTGTAGTTGAGACAATGCTCCCTAGATAGGTGAATGAAGTAACGTCTTTCAAATCCCTCCCGTTGATGGTGATTGGCGCTGGATGTTGCTGCTGTTGTTGTTGTTGGTTGGTTATTTTCATAACCTCCGTCTTTTCCATGTTCACCTGGAGTCCTGTCTTCGCCGGCTACTTCTTCGGCCAGTTTGTCGGTCGGTTTTCGCTTGTAAGTCTTCGATTTTGTGGCAGTGACATCAAACATAAATCATCCACGCGCGAAATCCAGGTCTTCTAGGTTCTTCAGGTTGGTCCAGGATATCCCTGTCTTTCGTTTCCCAGTGTCTGACGCATAATCCAGTCAGTCCACCAGAATTAGGAATATCATTGGTGATAATAAGCACCCTTGTCTTACTCCTATGTTTACTCTAAACGCCTCGCTGAGTTTTCCGTTGTGGATCACTTGATATGTGCCGTTGTCTTACAGCTGTAGTGCTTTTTTGATGATCTATAACTCTTGAATTTCTTGGGTAATTTCACATTTTTTTCTTTGTTTTTATGTACATCCTGACTACAACTCATCCATGCATAGCGATGGTGATGCTGACTGGCAACGGCGAGACATATATATATATATATATCGCTAATTGGTAGAACTTAGAATACCCTAGATAATCAGATTATTGTTAAGTGACTGTGAATAGTCTGTGGGCTTCCAACGTAACATGGAGATCTTCTGTTTGACCCTCAACCGGAGTAGGTCATAAGTGCGTACTCTTGAAGAGTCTCGAAGTGAGAAGAAACTGCTGTCCAGTATCCTCCAGTTTTCAATAGGTACCTAATTAATATCAGTTCGTTGTCAATTAAATCTTCGCAAATCAATGTATCCTCTCCCCCTTCGCAGTTTTGCAATTTAAAGCAGTACAATCATATTGTACTAAGGATATACAAAGATATAAAGTTGTTCTTAACAGGACTATTATAGTTAAGATAAAAGGTTACAATAAAAGGTTTCTTACTGAAACTTATTTGAACTTACAAATTTGCAGTCAAGTTTTACAGTCAATCTGAATAAAGCGGGAACAAGAGTTTGTACAGAATAGATTGGTACTGTCGTTTACTTTGCTGGCTTCTTATCATCTGCTTACAGCCTAAAGATATTATTAAGCTTATGTACAGCGAGTTCGTGCGTCGATGGCACAGCAATAGAATGCTTGAGAACCACGCCGCATGTGGTTCGTAGTTCGGTCCCTGGCCTACGCCGCACTCCTTTACCTCGCCCACTAAGCCAGTAATAAGACTGGTAGAAAGAGGGAAGACTGGGCATATGAGGCCAGCAAACTCATTCCGTAAAAATAAATACCAATGCTATTCAAGTGTTGGTTTGTAGGGATTTGATTGGTTGCAGGATTTCATCATGAGCTGACATCAGTTAGAGAACCACTGGAAAACTAACTGGGAGTACTGGACAGCTGTTTCGTCCTAGTCTGGGACTCCTCCTCAGTACCCACCCACTAGCGTTAAGACACAGAACTTTCTGGCTACAAGATGACAGACACCTAAACTCATGTTTTTTTATTACAGCTTGATTCCACTCCATATTTTTGGTACAAGTATAGAATTGTCAGCATGAATACCGGTAGCCCAAATTTGCAGGCCGATCGTAGATATCAGGTGTTCGTCGGAAGGGGATCGAACCTCGGACCATGTGCATGGTCGGCAAGAGTCCTAATCACTGTGTCACCGAAGCTTAATGGTCTACGAGCTCGCCTTGTAACCAGAAGGTCCTGGGT